ACTCGATCTATGAGATATTCAAATCAATGCCTTCAATTCTACTGGGTAGGTAAACGACTATTTGGTGGAAAATTCTTGCGCTTCATGTCAGGGTTAAGAAACGACACGTTGTTGCTAAGAGGCGAAAAAGCTAATAGACCTGAGACATCAAAGCTAAATTTCCCATGCCCTGATCTAAAAGTGCTACAAAACTATAATCCGCTCGTTGATAATCTACCTGAAAGTTTTAAGCCAGGTATTTTAACTGAAATGATCAAATATAAAGCTGAGAAAAGTGAAAGTCAAGGGTCATATGTGTTAATGCTAGACGGTAAAAAAATGAAGAGAGGAGCCGATGTTGACTTACTAGGTTGCGAGACAGGCCAAACTCTTTCACAACGTCGAGCTAGAAGGATTGAGCAAGATAGTGTGATTGAAAGAGCAACTTTGCAATTTTCAGAAATCCAGAATGAAACCAACGTAGTAAAGAACACACCAATGGATAGAAAAACTGGCCTTATTGCAATTTTAACCGAAATTTTGATGTTTTCGACAAGTCTTAAAGGGTTGCGAAGTTTAAGAAAAGGGAAGCAGTATGCTTTGAATAGGTTAAAGGATCAAGGTGGCAAAGAGTGGATGAAATCCAAATACGCATTCTCCATTGATCTGCAAATGACAATTATTTGGAAAATCGATAACTGTATGGAAAAAACCTTAAAAATACTGCAAAGTGTTTGCAGAACAGGAGCTTGTTTAAATGGCGTTGGTAACTTGTTTGTTGTTTCAGATACCATTGATCTCAGGTGTCAAGAAAATGTGTTTCTGTTGAATGATGTTGATAAATTACCCAGCAATATTGACCACACTGATACATCAATTATAAAACAACGATCAACGAAATGGTTCGCAGATAGAAAGACGATGAAAGTTACAGGAAGTACTGCTTATCAAGCTCTGGGCTGTGACACATTAAAGAAACAAAAAGATCATTATAAAACAGTTGTTGATGGTAGGCAGACGAACGAACCCAATCAATTTCAGAAAACTGCAATGCAGCACGGAAGTGATAGTGAAATTCACCAAATAGCAATCTTACCTTTTTTATTTCCAGATTTATGTATTACGAGGAAGGATATTACAAGACACATGATGTTATAGTATCTCCAGATGGGAGTATTCGAAACTCTAAAGGAAAAGCAATATACGCGTTCGAAGGCAAGGCTCCGATGGAAAAAATATATCAATCAACGCTACATGAAGAAGAACCGGCTCGATACATACCACAAACTGTTCTTGAAAGTTATGTTCTAAATACAAGTTCTACCTTGTACATGTGTTGGACCGACACTGCCTGCTCCTTATATAAGGTGATTTATTAAAGTTTCATTGTTTAACCTGATATGTAAGTGCTTTTCGATATTGTATTTACCAACGTTATTGCATTCCAAACATTAAAACAAAATCTGCTGAAATTTTATCGGTTATCTACGGTAACGATTTAAAAAAGTCTTTTAGTTATTATGAAACGTATTTTTTTTATTTTTACTTACAATGTTAAGCATTATACTTAAAAGTTATTGTCATAGAAAGCCACACTATTTAAAGTTAAAAAAATTGACGTCACATTGATTAACTTTATTGATTAACTGACATTGTGTTATTCTGATCTCTGTGTCATCAATCAAATGACAAAATATATTTTGTATTCATCCAGATATCATTAACTCGTTTTTTCCTTTTATTTCTAACAGTCTTCATTGTAGAAATCTAACAGTCTTCATTGTGGAAATAAGTGTTTCAGTCATTGTGGCAATAAGTGTTGCATGACCAAAAAAGCAGTAAATGGCTACTATATAACATTGTTTGTTACATGTAAAATGACAAATAGATAATCTTTTTCTGTTTATTATTAACGGTTAGAATTTATGTAATTCAAACAATGAAATTGTTTTCAGATGTAAATCAATGAAAATCATAAAATACACGATTATTTCATTCGAAGTTACGATTTTGAATAAAAAATACATTATTTTCAAAAAATTAAGCCATTTGAAGTGAATGAATTTTCATTTTTCTGGTATCAAAAAATTACGTAAGAATGGTCATTTACATTGTTTAAATGTAAAATCTTAATGATTTTGTCAATATTGTAGACCTCAGTCTTGTCTTGCGGGTATAGAGTGAACAAATACGGAAACGTAATTGTGATATCTGCATTAGTCATATATATGCGCTTTATCCCTAGCGGCTTAATATTTGTGAAGTTCGCTGTCACTATGATTGCGCTAAAGTTTATTTCCGCTTAAATGCCAGCCATATGAAAAACGCAAAATACTGTTTTCGCAAAAGTTATTAGGAATACAGTTATCAATTACTTCAGTTTTGCTGCTACAACGTAAAACAACTAAAACTACAAAAAAAAACATATTTAGAATTTCATAATACAAATCACTTATTTTGTTTGTTTAAGGTCCCAGCAAACGGAGACATGTGTCATGAAATGTTTCTAGAGATTCAAGAAACATATAATAAGGAACATACAAAGTGTCCAACCAAGCTTTCATCGAGCTCGAAATTACTGAAAGATAAATTCCAGAAATATGTGAAAGAGTGTTGTTTTTTAGGTGAGTTTCCGTCGGTGAAAGGTTTTCTTAGTCCAGAAAAGGAAACAGGAAGAGATAAAAAAGGTAAACATGAGACGACAGAAACATTAGATGCACCTCCATAACAGCAGCAGCATTTAAAATTAGGTATATTAAACGATTACACGTACGATGACGTACAGAGGCATCTTATCATGACAAAAGAGGCGATCAATGACGCATACGAATTGCAACGTACAATTGCCTCTCAAGTAGTCGTGTACCTTTTATCTGACTTAGATAGGTTCTGGAAAGAAGAACAACCACACGCTCTTCCAGTCATGTACTTCTATCGAGGTTACAGTCTGAACATGGAAGTTGCCCGAAAAATAACTGAGAAATGTAAAGAAGGGCTAAAAGGTAACGGCTTGGATTTGGTTGTAACTGCAGCAGATGGTGAATTTCATCATTTAATGGTTCGAAGCTCTGACGGGCGTCCACTTACACAATATCAGCTGTCAAAAGATATGTGGAGAGATGCATGTAAGCTTAAGAAGAATAAGGTCACGGTTCGGATATAAGGTTAATGAAGCTAACGTTTATACAACAAAACGGATGAATGCTCCAATATAACAATTTGCTTTAACAGGGTGACATTAACAGACATGATTAAAAACAATATCGAGACTTTAGAAGACCAGAAGTGTTCGCAAGAAAATAACGATATTAAAGTGTTCAAATTATATACATGGTCTTGAATTTGAATTTGTTAACAGGAATGGAGTAAATGGATTTTGAATGATTACGCTTTTGAGGAAACAGCAACTTGGTGTTGTTTTCAACAAAAAAAACAAGTGTATATTATTAATGCATAAATAATTTTTATTACTAAGAAAAACATATTTTAAAAAATCACAATATTAAGGCACATTTGTCTTTTGAGTGGCAGTGTAGTCATGCAAATTATCCGAGCATTCTACTAGTATTTGACAGTCTGTCAGATACATATCTTACGTTTTTCAATGTATCATTGTACTTAAATAAACGTTCATCAGATAGACTGGTAATAGAACGCATGTGTCCATTGTAACCTATGAAAGACTTATATGCATTAAAAATCACAGATTTATTGTAAAGCAATAACATGTATAATAAATGGAAAAAATGAGTGAATTATTTTCACAAAAGTTTGTTAAAACAATCACTGAGCGGTGGCAACGCTCGACTTTAATATAAAAAAAAGCAAACAAATTCCAGTTTAACAAATCTTTTAGGAAATAGAAATTAACGGGAAAAAATGTTCCTTTTTATTTTATGTGTCAAGTCACACTTGTTACATACATGTATATATCATTTCCATAAATGAACGACAAAGTATAGAAAATATTGACAAAGTTTAGAAAAAATAAGCGAAATTCAATTGTTTAACTGACAGGGTCATTTAAAGGTCATATCGAAATTATTCTAGATGTCAGTCTGGTCACAATAGTTGTTTAATCCAGGTATGAATAGAATAGATTGTTTTGTCCAAGTATGAAGATTATACATTGATATCACCATTGATATTAAAGTCAATTACAGAAAAAAATCAGTGAAAGTTCATTAATTAACCTTCACGGTTAATTGAGCCGATGTTAATTTGAATTCGACATGCATGTAGTTTTCATTCTGAAAAATGTTGTCTTAATATGAAGTAATTTCATTCATTGATAACATAGTTAAAGCCACTTACAGCAAAAAACAACAACAAAAAACAAAGAAAAATTCAATAACTTGACCTTACAGGTCAATGTCATTTATGAGTTAAGGTCAAGGTCTGTTTGGTTTACCTAGAAAATTGTTATGTTTAAGTTTGAAGACAATCCGATTAAAAATAAGAAAGTTAAAGTCACATATAAGAAAAATTAGGAACACTTAAACTTAATGTGTCATTTATAAACTAAGGCCAAATATAGTTTAGCCTACTTGAAGGTCATGTCCCAATAGTTGTTGTATGAAAACAGTACACCAAGAACTTGAAAAGTTATGATGAAGGATAATGTTTGCGGACGGCAACGGAACGCAGGCATGACTGTAACAATACCTCTATTATTTTTTTCTCCGAAAAAAGCAGAACTAATTAAAATGATAAACGACATTTACGTATGGCACACGGTTTTTAACAATTTAAAACTAATAATTTGTCGTAGAAACAATAAAAACTAAATATAAAGAAATATGGCCGACAGGAATATGGTTATATGCTGTAAACGTATTATGTCAACATTTTTTATACAATTTTGATAAGCCGCATTCAAAATAAAAAAATGATTTACAAAAAAAAATCACGTTATCCCTAAGACAGTTGCACATTTTCAACATTCCATGTTGGCACAATTTTTGACATCGCTTTCATCATTAATTATAATAATTTCCTCTCAAATTTAGATAGATTTTAGTTTATGATTCTTCGTGTTTACTGGCCTCTACATGACGATCAAGGTTGCTCCTCCTACTAAAACACTTCCCACAAACACCGCAAACAAAGCGTCCGAGTGTGAAATCTGAGAGAATCATTATTCTTAAATGTTTTTCTACACACCTGGCAAGGGACTCGATCCCGAGACCCATTACTGTACAGCATTTTTGTACATGGACCTTGTAATTGCCACGAATGAAGAACACCTTCTTACATCTTTCACACTCCCATCTCTTGCCAATTCGGTGTTCTTTACTCTTGTGGTGTTTAACCTGCAATAATTGATTTAGTCCCTTTAGAGATAATTACAAACTAGAGTCAATACGTAAGATGCAGGCCCGTATGAATATAAACGGTACTTAAAGAACACTATATATATAAAATTAATTATGAAAGGATAATTAAACCAAATGCAGAATGTCTCATTTCAAGACATTTCAAAACATATGACACTTCTCATTTTTATCCGAATTTCGGACTTACTGACTACATCATTACTACACTTTAAAAGCTCTGTGAATATGCATAATTTAAGTCCAAAGTTTGATCAGAATAATACATCCCTGCCAAGTGTATGAGAAAGCCTGATTGCAAACATCGCAATTATGGTTATTTGCCTCTGCGTGTACAGCATCAATGTGGCGTTTTAAGTAGTAGTTTTGTGAGAAACATTTCCCACATACATGACAACTCAGAGCTTTATCAACATCATTATGTCTCTTCATATGCCGGCTTTTGTTACTTTTGCCATATTCTTTGCCACAGATGCCACACTCTTCCCGTTTTCGCAAACTCATGACCTGTAAAAGATATAATCATTTAATAAAACTGTGTATCTCAAATAATAATAAGTTTTGTTTGACACAAACAGACAGAGCGTTCATTTAAACTATTATTGAAACCTCCAAACCAAAGTATGGAAGACGGACAAAACTATCGCAGATAGGTGTTTTCCAAATTCTTATTTCTGGTGTATTGGCTTGTAATTGATCAAAAGACGCTAAAATAAACAAATTCCATTTCAACGCATGCCTGAGTAAAACATGACCAAAAAGTTATTATTTCTTGCAGAAAATGCAATTCACAGGAAAGATACCATTTCCATTTAAAATATTCATTTGATTTTGCGTTGTTTACGCGAACTTGAGTAGAATAATTATTATGGGACAATTCTTATGAGAAGGTTTACTTGTATATCACTGCATAGAAACCAGCAAGCAAATATTTGTGTTTGTGAGTGAACATCTATTAAATACAGTTATCACGTGGTGCAGTGATTTTCTTTGATACTTCTCAACTGCTATACGCCAGTAGCACGCTCAATTGACAATAACGCATAGTGCACATGGGTCACTGGACGGTACCAAATTTTAGGCTGAATTCCCCCCCACCAACCCCCCCACCTAAAAAAAAGAAAGAAAAGAAAAAAACAACAACAACACAAAAAACAAATTTATTAAAGAGATATGTAATGTGGAAATTGGTTTGCATAAAGTTTTGTCTGGTGCATGGACGTACTTGTTTATAAACCTTTTAATTTTTTTTCATGTTATTTTGCTCTAGGAGGCACTGCCTCTGTGAATATTTTCATGAATAGCATTACTTGCAATATTATCCATTTCAAGTCCCCGAGGAAATAACATTAATCGTTAATAATAGACTTATTGATATCAATTTAAAAATCCATCTTTTGGCATGCCATTTAAATGCTTATGAAACGGCGGTTAGTGTACGTAGTACTGGCGCGTCCCAATTATTTACAGCAATGTTTTTCTGTGTCTTTGGTCATCCAACCAATCAGGAACACCCAAAACACTTCTGATTGGCTCATGTCATGAGAGGTTTACAATATCGGTAATTGACACGTTACATAAAAAGTAACCGAGGTTTCGGGTGGGGAATTTAATTTATGGAGAGAAGCCAATCATAAATTGAAATTTTATGTTTATTAAAATTCTCATTTCTGTTTATCATACGATAAAAAAAACAGTTATAATACATCGAACTCGACTATTATGTAGAAATATCATTACCTGGGGCGGCATCTCGTGTTTTCCTTACAGACAAAGTTCTCGACCCATATTCTGTAAAGAAAAACCTTCGATGTCGCATCAGGCCATGATATTTACACATAACAGTCTGTCGCTATAACTATAACTTGTGGAATAATAAAGTTGTAGTTATTTCTATGAATGTAAACATTATTAAAGAAACATATTATATGACACGATAGCTTTACAAAGTTTAATATTTTCAATTTGGTTTGTCCAAGTTACAGTTTATTTATTAGGGAATTGTTTATCATCAGAGTACTATCCGCTCTGCATTAACATTTTCATGTACTCGGGCCTTTTAGTATTTCTAATGCTAGCATAAGCTAGTAAGCTCTGTCACTGTGGTAATCAAATACACTAATGTAACAATTGAACTTCCAGCCAAAGATGCAAAACCTATATTGTTTCTATACATTGGCTATTCAATGATTATATGGAAGTGGCCCGTAGCTTTGTAGATGGTTTTCTACATCACTTATGAATATCTTCATTACATCTGGAGCTCAAATGTAATTTTGAGCAGTGATTCCCTTGTATGTAGCCAAATCTCAATAAATGTTTAAACCAGGATTTGTTTGAATATTTAGCATCGACCTGTAGTGAGATTTCGTAAAATCTCTGTTTTTTGAGTGCGTTTAGTGACATTTTCTCCATTCATATTGCATGTTTTGGACACACCAGAACCCACGACGGAAAGAATATCTCGATGAATACTGCATAGAAATCCAAAACAACAAGGGGTAATATAGAGGAGAGTCAGGAGGATAGAATCACATTTCGATTTTCTTTAAAAAAAGGATTGAATTTTATATAAATGTTTAAAAAGATGAAAACTTACCCTGCGATCGGCCTATTTTTCCAGTCACATTTGGTGTTATGCTTCACATCTGGTGCAGCGGAAATTCACATATCGTTTTTACCGATGCTCATTTTTGAGATTCATATGGGGTTCCACCCCCGTGATTGTGCATTAACACATAGATGAATCCCTCTCAATAAGCTCAATTAACGGATATGTTTATTGGGTGTCCGTTTAATTATCTAATTGTAATTTTACATTACCTACAGAAAGAGGTTGGGTTCAAATACATAAAATTGAATTAATTGGTATATATAATGTAAGATTACAGAAACACAAACTTAACATTGTTGATATCCGAAACGTCTCAAGATTATGACAAAAACATCGTCATTGAACGTGCCTTTCACATACCCCCCCCCTTCCCCTGCATCGTATATTTAACCAGTTAAAAACTCGTGCACACAAACTTTGACGGGACAATTCTTGAGGATCAAGCTACGATGTGTCGACAAGATGTACTTCAGGTAGTCAGAGAACCCAACAAATGGTCTTAATTTTCAATATAATCAATGCACTTTTGTCTCCCTGTGCTTCAACTTATTTAACCCTTCAAATAGAACACTCTATTTTGGTCCTCAAAAACGATTGTGAAGTTTAACAGTCCAGCGGCCTGGCAGCGTGAAGTTGGCGGCCTGGCGGCCTAGCGGTCTTGCGGCGTGAAGTTTGCGCGGCCCAGCGGACTGATGGCGTGAAGTTGGTGGCCTTATTTTTTCATTTGTTGTAATGTTAATAAACAATAAAAAACGGCAATTAATGATGTTCTAAGGACAATCCTTGTTATTTTAAGTTATTTAAGGGACATATAAAAAGAAAAAATTCACTTTGAGACAACTTTTTTCAAAGCCGGAAATTTAACAGTTGTAGAAATGTTATAAATCTGATAAAAAACGGGACATAATGAAGTTTTAAAGAGTATTCTTGAAATTTTAAGAAAAAAAATACACAGAAAAAAAAACCCTGTGAGAATTTTTTCATTTTATCAATTTTGTAAATTTGGCGGCATGGCGGCCAATATTTTAATGTTGTAGAAATGTTATTTAAAAACAATCCTTGTTATTTAAATGATATATAAAGAGAAAAAAATACTTTCATTTTTCATATTTTATCATTTTTGTGAAGTTGGCGGCCTAGCGGCCTGAAATTTTAATGTTGTAAACATTTGGAAAAGAATTGAAAAACGACTCTTAATTAACATTTAAAGACATATCTTATCATTTCACAGTTATATAAAAGAAAAAAAATCATATTTAGAAAGTTCTTTTTTTCTCTAGCGACCTGGCAGTTGGTAATTTTACAGTTGTAGAAATGTTATAAATGTGATAAAAACGGGACATTGTGAAGTTCTTTAGACTTTTCTTGATATTTAAAAGGTATAAAAAAAAGAAAAAGAAATCATGTTCAGAGAACTTTTGATTTTATCATTTTTGTGAAGTTGGCGGCCTGGCGGCCAAACATTTTAATGTTGTAGAAATGTTATTTCAACAATTAAGCGGCATTTAATGAAGTTCTAAAGACAATTATTGTAACTTTAAGGATAATTAAATAAAAATAATAAATTGTATTAAGGAATTTTTTTATTTAATCATTTTTGTGAAGTTATCGGCCTGGAGCTCTAAAATTCTAATGTTGTAAAAGTTTTAAAAAGAATGAAAAAAAAAGCTCTACAGGTTCAAGTTCTGGTATTTTCCGGCATTCCAAGTCTTAAAATATTCTGCCGATGACTTTTGCCTGCGACGAGCACGCTTAAAAGGGAAGTGACAAGCTGTTTAGTTTAGCCAATGTCGTTGTATTTACATGTGTGTGAGTATCAAATCAAATAGAATTAAATTTATTCATATATATATATATATATATATATATATATATATATATATATATATTCGTTTTATGTGATGGTGGATGAGCAGTGGCTATGCTTTTATGACTGTTCTGCTAGGCGCTGTGCCGTACTTGGACTGGCATATCGATGTGGTGGTATGTGTGTGTATTTTCTCTCATTTCTATAACAATTTATCTGCACACTTGTATCTTTATCTGATCCCACGTAGGGGAAGTATAACTGTATTAAATTTAATTATCTATATATTATATAGATATATATATAAACATATCACAAAAACATAACCTATGTATAGCTTTTGACCGACATACATTTCACATTATATTTAAGCACCCTACAGACGCATGGTTACCACTATTAGATCATTAGTGTTTATATTATTTATTTGAACATATTGTACGGAAATTCATATAAAATTACATTAAATAACAAATGTTTATCGAAAATATTAATTCCTTTCGCATTATTTTTATTTGACCGCATGTCTGTCAGAAACTAAGCTCTTAACAACATATGTAATTACATGTATATAAAACGTGTAAGCAAAGCTTACTTACGTAAATATAATAAAAATCGTTTTTACATATATAATTATATACAATACACATATTACTTAATATGTATTGTGAATACCTTTTTCTGTTTAACCCTTTATATTTCTTGTGAAATAAGGTAATTAAATACGTATGTGGACGTGTGTTTAATCAAATAAGATTACACATATCATGACGATATCTCTTTCTGTGTTTATTTTTTTTTTTTTTGGCCCATTTTCCAAATATTTTACCAGCATTTCCTGAAATACGATAATGACACCATGGTCATACTTAAATACTACAAAAGATATGTTAAGCGCATCTGGCGATCTTTACAACTTCGCCTATAATCGGTAAAAGTTAAAAGGGAAAATGCAATTTGGATGTTCATCTATGTATTCATTTCTCTATTTCAGTTCTCCGTTGCATTTGTTCCCAGGTAATTCGAATATATTCATATTACTTTCTATTTGTTCTTGAATTATATACTAGGCTACATGTATATCACTTTCGGTGAATTATTGATAACCTCGGTGGGGGTGTATTCCTTGATTTGGTCAGAGTATCGCATTGTAACACGGCCAGCGATTGGCTGTTAAAGTGCAAGGAAAACCGAATAATGCAATTTGACATGAGATGATTGGATGACAATGGGTTATTTTTAAGTATAAAGACTAATTTAGAAAGAAATACTACATAGTTTTATGAAGAAAATGAAAAATTTCATGAGTCTCTATGATAATTTTTGACTTGGATATTGGTATGTATAAAAAGTGTATGTCAGTCCTGTGATCAGCAGAAAATTTCAATGAAATTGGGGGTAATCCTCTTTGAAGTTATTTTGCAAAATATTTCGTTGGCTACCCCTACATAACAGGAACATTTTCATGTTTCAGGCACCTATTCTGCTAGATAAATTACATCTTGAGCGAGAAAACTCAATTTTAAGGTAGGATTGGGGACCATTTCTGATAATGTAAGTCTATGGGAATATCAATGTGAGTGTCGGACCATTTATATGTAAAATAATGAATATAAAGTTAAAATAAAGAGTTGTAGATAACAGTACTAAAACCGCTATGATATTGTTAGAATTACGGTGCAATGTTTGTGTACACAAAATTTTACAGTCATTGTCTGAACAGTTTTTTAAAGAAGAGAATATAATAAAAGGTAAGAAGAACTATTTGGAACGTCTACATAGCAAAGTTGGTAAAGTCGTTAGTATGCGCCTTAAATTTCAATCACGAGTCCGAGCTTTAGAAGTTTCTTTCCCTATTCTTTCTTAAATTTTATGATATACTGTATGCAATGGAATTGGAATATCAATGAAGTTTTGTTAAAATATCTAATAATTTTGATATACCGGAAATATAGTTTTATCCTGTGTTTTGTGTAGTATGTAGTAATCATAGACTAAGTGCTTGTGAAGTGCACGAGTATTTCGTGCAAACTGAACTATAGTTGAAACAATTTGTGTACTTGTATGCAGTATAAGGTTTCACCAACTTGCTAGATATGACTCCATTGAAAATAAACAAAAACGTGAAATGAGAAGTAAATAAAAAATAACACAACACAGTAAACTAACATATTCTTTATACATAAATATTTTTTGCGAATCGAACCTGCCCTGCATTGATATACAAGTAGAATTTTAACTGCACAGTTTTACCTACAGCGTTACGTGGACAGTTAATGATATTTTATATTGTAAAAAGATGTTCAATACAAAATGATAATTGTTTTACACCGTTATAGTAGTCTTGACCGTCGCGTGACTAAATCACGGGGCTGGACCCCCATATGTTTTTCAAAAATGAGCATCGGTAAAAAGTGTATGTGAATTTCCGCTGCTCCAGATATGAAGCATAACACCAGATGTGACTTTGAAAATAGGTCAATCGCAGAGTAAGTTTTCAACTTTTAAACAGTTAAACAAAATTCAATCCTTTTTTTAAGAAAATCGAAATGTGTTTCTACCCTCCTGACTCTCCTCTACATAATCCATTTTTGTTTTGGATTTTTATGCAGTCTTCATGGAGATATTCTTTCAGCCGTGGGTTCTGGTGTGTCCACAACATGCAATGTATATGAAGAAAATGTCACCAAACGGACTCTAAAGACAGAGAAGTTAAGAAATCTTACTACATACCGATGCTTAACATTCATACAAACCCTTATTTTAACATTTTATGAGATTTGGCTACAAACGAAGGAATGGCTGCTCAAAATTTTACTCATCGTTTGGACGGGGAGAATAAATTAGATGGCACCCGAAAAAATGTTTAAAAACTTCATTAAGGACCATTCATATTTGTTACAGAAATTGTACACCATATATTAGCCTGTGTTCCAGTCTTTCAATTTTTTATGTGCTTCTGTTCGGTAAGTCGATATTATCAAAAACACAAATAAGTATGAAATAATGATATGAATATGCAAAAAATATCAACGCTTGAATCCTAGGCTAACCAAATATGACAAAATCAGGCGGCTACCTTCACAAAAATGATAAAAGATCTCTCATTCGATTCTTTGTTTATATATCGTTTAAATAACAAGAACTTCATTAAATACCATTTCATTTTATAACATTTCTATAATCGTAAAATTTACGCCGCTGGGCGGCAAGGCTTCACAACACAAAAATGATAAAATTAAAATGTTTTTTCTCAATGTGTTATTTTCTCTTTATATATCTTTAATGCAACAAGAATTGTCTAAAAAAACTTCATGATATGCAGTTTTATTGTTTTAATAACATTTCTACAACATTGAAATTTTTGGCCGCCAGGCCGCCAACTTCACAAAAATGATCCCTCAAAGTGATTTTTTTCCGTTTTATATACCTTTAAATAACAAGAATTGTCTTTATGCCGTTTTATTGTTGAAATAACATTTCTACAACATTGAAATTTTGGCCGCAAGGCCGCTGGGCCAACTTCACAAAATGATAGAAAAAAAAATCTCTCAAAGTGATTTTTTTCTTTTTATATACCTTCAAATATCAAGAAAAGTCTTAAGATCTTCATAAAGTCTCGTTTTTATCATATTTATATCCATAACATTTCTACAACTGTACAATTTCCAACTGCCAGGTCGCTAGAGACTTTCTAAATGTAATGTTTTTTTCTTTTATACATGTTATATAACTGTTAAATGATAAGATATGCCTTAAAAAGTTAATTAAGAGTCGCTTTCGCATTCTACTCCAAACATAGACAACATTCAAATTTCAGGCCGCTGGGCCGCTGGGCCGCCAATCCTTTGGACCGCCAGGTCGCCAACTTCACAAAAATGATCAAATAAAAAGCGTCTTCTCAAAGATTTTTCTTTATATATATATATATATATATATATATATATATATATATATATATATATATATATATATATATATATATATATATATATATATATCTGCTTTAAATAATAAGAATTGTCTTTAGAACTTCATTAAATGACGTTTTATAGTTGAAATAACATTTCTACAACATTAAAATTTTTAAGCCGCCAGGCCGCCAACTACACAAAAATGATGGAATAAAAAAGTCTCTCAAAGTAATTTTTTCTTTTTATATACCTTTAATTATCAAGAATAGTTTTAAGAACTTCATTATGTCACGTTTTTATCATATTTATAACATCTCTACAACTGTCAAATTTCCGGCTTTTTAAATAATCTTTTTTTCTCGGTGATTTTTTTTCTTTCAATATATCCTTTACATAACTTAAAAAACAAGGAATGTCCTCAGAACACCATTAATTGCCGTTTATATCGTTTTGATATCATTACAACGAATTAAAAATATAAGGTTGCCAGGGCGCCAACTTCACGCCGCCAGGCCGCTGGGCCGCCATCATCACGCCGCGTTATCGCTGGGCCGCGACGCCGCCAACTTCACGCCGCTTGACCGTCATGCCGCCAACTTCACGCCACCAGGCCGCTGGGCCGCTAGGCCGCCAGCCTCACACACCTCCTCAAAAAACTCATTGTCTGCCTCCATGACACCGTCATTGCTTCAAAAACGTCTACGACGAGGTTTAGTTTTCGGTTTCGGAAACTAGTAGAAAACAGAGGGGCCAAGTCCGGAGAATATTGAGGATCGAGAAAAATTTCAAAGCTGCAATCAGTTGCAGCAGCCATCGCAACTTTGGATGGGTGAGCTGGCACTTTGTCGTGCAGGAAAATAACGCCTTGAGTCTGTTTGTCTCAATTTGTCACATAGTACGTACCATTTATGGTACGACCTTGCTCAAGATAGTCAATCATGATTATCCACTGACTATCCAAACAATTAAACCCATCATCTTCCCTGCTGATGACACCCTCTAGAGTTTTTCGGAGGGTGAGCTAGGGTGCTTCCACATCATGACTCTGGATCTGGATCTGGACCCATGTTTCATCCTGAGTTACGATCCGGTAGATAAAATCAGGTTCATCCTTGTAGTGAGCCAAAAATATCTTGAAATGTTCAGCATGGTCTATTTCTGGTCGTCAGTCAACTGTCTGGGGACCCACCTAGCGAAACTGACAAGATTTCCGAAAAGTATGTTTGTCTCTCTATATAAATGAGGGCAAGAGAGTTTGAAAAGTCATATATTATTGTGTCGCACTAAATAAAATGTAGTCAAAAATGTATGATCAACCATATAAAGGTCTTGTAAATTATATGCACATCTGCTATTAAAAGGTACTTTTCACGAAAATGCACCAGCAACCCAGAACGGCCAGGCTTATTGTCAAATCATGTTGTATACTTCACAATCTAATGAAAATCCGGTTCCCAAAAATGCAAAACACACTGGTTGGTCGCGAAGACAACAAAGGTAATTTGATTCCAGGAGAGTGACGTATGGGAAGGATCTTAGAAGATAAACAAATGACCGCAATGCCCGTAACACCACGACAAATGGAGAACAATTAGTACGAAACACACTCAAATACTGGTTAAACTCTGAAGCTGGTGTACCATGGCAAGACAAAATGGTCCCGACTAAGAATATTGACGCAAGAGTCTGACAATACTAATATATGAGTGTTGTATAATGTTTGTACCAATAGTATGATTTCTTCATACATTACAAAGCAAGAGTTTTACTGTAGCTCACAAATATTTCGTACATTATATTGGCTGTACCGATAATCTTCTTAGCTGATGCTTGTTTCTTAAAGACTATGGGCTCTTTATAAGACAGTAAGTAACAACGTTTCAAGCGTATAGTCAATATATACGTGACATTCATAAACGGAAAAATATAACCGGAATATACATGTATACAAATGAAAAATAAACACTTTGTTTGGGCTGATTTATCCTTTATTAGTAAAAAAGATACATATTTATACAGTCGTTTCTAAGTGCTATATTGACAAAATCTTTGCATATCTGTTTATAGGGTAACTATCACATCATAATAAACATAATGCCATTGTGTTTACTCTCTGTCCTAACGAGAACAAAAAAAAATTGGAACAGTTTACAAAACAACTAAACGTCATGAAAACCCTTCGCAAATAATTTAGTAATTTAACCTATTTAACTTACTTACGTTAGAAACAAGGACAAACTTTAAAACGTAAAAAATCGAGTACTAGGGTGTGTCTTGATCTTTCTTACATTATAGCTATTACAGTAGGAACTTGTACAAATTTTTACAAAACATAAAATAACTTTCAACACTATGCCATTTTAATTATCTAACTTGTGTATGTCTGTAATAATTACGAATATCTGAATAATTCACTTAACATCATTATAAACCTATATTTCGTATGATATAAATCTTGCTTGTTAAATTAGACATACCAAAATAAATTAAAGTTATTTAGTCACTAAATAGGTAACACTGCACGTGCTTATAAACTTATCTCTATCGGAGGTTACTGGTCTTATGCATTGCTCATCATTGGAAAAGCTGAGATTGGTCTGTATTGGGCATCGTTTCCGTGATCAATTTCTATGTCCTTGTTGAACCCTCTAGGATCTATTTCAGACGCGATTATCGCTTGATTGAGAATCGGTGATGGACGCGTAGCTTGGGCCACCAACATGGCGTATATTGGACGCACGTTACCTTCCAACTATTCTGGGCATCGGTTAGACGGTTAGAATTAAAAATAACATACAATGAGCTATTGTGTTATTAATTGTTTTTAATGTTTAATTGTTATTATTATTATTATTATTATTGTTATTATTATCATTATTATTATTATAAGTAGTAGTAGTAGTAGTAGTATTATCATTATTATTATTATTATTGTTATTTAATCAAATATATCTTAAGTATGAAATGTGTTGTTACCATATCAATTAACTTACAACGTGGTGTGTTCTTTTTGACATTATCCAGACAAATATAAAGATATTAAGCACGCACTTGGTTAAAATGACATTCAATATCACGTAAAATATTGGTGTCCCGAACGTCAAGCACCAAAGCAACTGCTTCACGATGAAGACTTCTATCTCGACCTAAGAATGAAATACGATTTGGAGGAAAGTAGTGACTACGTCCAATAATAAGATCAAGAAAACGAGGTTTTAAAAAAAATGACCAAGATTGCTAGGTACGAAAATGAAAGCAAATGGCGAGATAAGGCAAAAATACAAAAAGCGATGTATTTCCTTTTTCTAACGCTTAAAAATAGGCCAATATCGGAAAAAGAAAGGTCGAAATTAGCTCATTAATTTAAAAAATCACCGTTTTAATTTCCTATATATATATAAATTTAGAGAGGGTTACGAAAATTATAGAAAAATATTTTAAGCGAATATTGAATCTTGAGCGAACAATTCGTCTGTTATTGACGAAGTATAAACATTATTTTTAAGCATTGATGGACGAAGGAAAGAAAATATAATGATTAAAGCGAGAACAACAACAGTAACGACGACGACGACGATGACGAAATCGGAAAATATCATCATGATGATGATGATGATGATGATGAAATGAATTAAAACCGCCAGTCTCTTCATCAAAAGTGCAAACTTTTCAAAACGGGCATGAAATATGTTAATCCAACAATTTTAAAAAACTATGTTTATATCATTTAATTGAAATAAACAGTATATAACGCTATATGCCTCCAACCACAAGAAATTCAAACTTGAGACAAATGTGTGCCATTAGGTCAAAAATTCTCCGTTGCGTAATTTAGTAATACCGGTTCAAAAGTTAAAGGACAAAATTTCGGTAAACGGTTCACTCGATTATTGTATAGTGCATGGTGATATTGTAGCTATAATGTTCACTGTTACCATGTTTCGGGACATGAAATAGTGTTACGATTTTAGAAAACACTTTAAAACGGAATGAATCATCTAAGTAACGTAAATGATATTTTCCGATTTTTCTTTGTACGGATTTGTTCACTTCGATGTCAATTTTTCAAGTGAATTCGTATTTCGAAGCAGAGCATGTGCATAACAATTATTGTAGACTGCTCCTAATGGTTTTACGCTTCAAATGAGATTTATCCACTACAATCAGTCTGAACACTGTGGAGAGGTCTGATGGCCTCTCCAATGACAGCCATGGCTACAAGTTTGCTGGAACGTCAGGCAAAACCTTAAACATTTTTGTTCCAAACACCGAAAGATTTTACCTTTATAGGAAAGAATGAAACAAACAACCGATAATGTGACAATCTGAACTGTGTTGATACCTGTTATAATAGTAATACTATTTTTAAAGTACCATACATGAGATTCTAGCGTAAAACGTATAAAATAGATAAGCAATAAATTAGTATTACGCGTTATATGTCAAAAATCCGACAAATACACGAGTGAAATTAGTTTATGTATTTGTTTTATGTAATATAATGCGTTTTTAATTGATAATTCCTTCGACAATATTTCGGAGAACTAACCAACCATACGATTTAAACAGCTACTACCGTGCCTAACGAGATAATTTTACAAAATGCAAATTAAAAGTATTGTTGTGACTCAAGTTATGTTTACGTAAATCGTTTCTTATACTGTTAACTCCGTTATCTGATACAGTTAATTAAAATAGTGGCAACATAATGAGTCCCATTAATTAAAAACACATAGAAGTCCTGCATTTCAAATTTACGCAGTAGTAGTGTCATAATGACCTTTTCCCTTTACCTTCTACGATCTGATTGACATTGATTTGTATTTTAAATTAACAAACGTGTACGTTATCGATGAATGGATAATTTAATTGTATTCGAATAGATTGAATCGTTTTTCACGGTCTGCGCACTGAAGTTTTACGAAAGGTTTATTTTTTTTCGCTCATCTACCGGGTGGTCTTGTGACCTCGCAATCAATTAAAATATTTAAAAACATTAATTTACCGCGCATCGAAAAGACCGTGTAAAAGTACAAAAGGTGTAAGTTGGTCCTATTTCAATGATAAAGAAACATTATAACTTAACACGTTCAGTAAATTGAATAAATAGTGCCACAGTATTTTAATGATTATAGTCGCACTTTTAAAACGTTATACTTTCAGTTAATTGAATACATGTCTAGCGTTTGTTTCAGGAGCAAAACGTTGAAGCCGTAAGTTATATATTTGTCTATGTTTACAATTTTATCAAGTTTTATTACATCTATGCGTCATATCTATTTTAGTAAAACTACACACTTTCATATTCATAATGATGTTATGCTGTATTTTTTTTCCATTTGATTCTTTCGAAATACTGTTCTTAAAATTTTAATATTTTCTTGATTATGTTAGGAAAATTATCAATTAGCCAGATCGCGGACATTTACGTCACATGTATGACAACATGATTATAATCATTAATTTTATCTAAGACATTTATTTGAAGTTTTCTTATCTTATTCTCTGTTTGACTTGAAGAAAGGAATTAACATCCCGCTGGTTTTTGACATCTAGCGTGTTAATCAGTCTAAATCGAACCATTTTGATTGGTCAAATCTATAATTTCATAATTGATAAAATGTTATTTCATTGGGGAATATTTTCTTGTTTAAAGATATCTTTTTCATTGGTT